CCCCCCCCCCCCCCCCCCCCCAAAAAAAAAACTTTAACTTGGAGAAAAAAAAGAAAGAAACCTTAGGGGAGAGCAACAGAGGAGGGAAGAATGAAGAGGAAAGAGGGGCAATGATCGCAGGGGATAGGACGAGGAGAGGCCAGGATTATGGAGGTCATTGACGGTGGAGAGGAGAAAATAGATATTTAGGTTTATCAAAGCAATTGCCCTTTTGAACAGGCTGCAATAGAATAGAACAACAGTGGACGGTTAGATCCAGTAGGAGGCAGTATTGCAAGTTAAAGGATGCCAAATGCCGGAAAACCCCAAAGAAAAGGGGGAAGAAGAAGCCTGTCTCTGAAACACAGGAAAAGAGTTGGTGGAACGAACACGAACTCGACGTGACAGACCAGTTTGGGGGGTTTCCTACTTTCTGACAATACTATTATTTTTTACACGTTTCTTCTGAACGGAAGCAAACTGCTGACGCTTTGTCACAGAGTCAGGTGGGTGCGTATTTTACTGTTCGTTTTTTTCAAAACCGAAAGTAAAGTGAAGCGGGCCCGTGAAGCCATGGCTGATAGCATGGATGAAGACATGCCGGAAGAGTCTTTACCCCTCCGGCAGGACCTGACCTGCCCCGTGTGTCAGGGAATCTTCCAGGACCCCGTGCTGCTGCCGTGCACCCACAGCTTCTGTCGCGAGTGTCACCAGAAAAGTTTTCAGGTCAACAAGAAGTGTCCCGTGTGCAGGAAGGAGTGTGAGGAGGGGCAGGCCATCTCCAACCGCGCGCTCAGCAGCGCGTGTGAGAGTTTCCTCCAACAGTCGAACTGGGGGTCGATCCGGAAACACCCTCCCCCTGCCGAGGACACCTGTAACCTGCACCTGAAGCCGCTGGTGCTGTACTGTGAGAAGGACGAGGAGCCTCTGTGCGTGGACTGCGTCACTCTGCACAACACGCACACGCTGTGGCCGCTGAGTGAGGGGGCACCGATGTGTAAGGTAAAGGACGCTGGACCTCCAAATATGTACTCCTTGACAAATCAGTTTTACACCTGGAAAGAAAAAGGGCATCCTGATTTCAACTTTTGTTGACTGAATGAAAGAAATGCTCAACAGTACACTACTGTAGCGCCACGGTTTCCCCATAAAGTTACACTAGAACTGAAATACTTGTTGTACTTTAATATTTCAGTGTGCATTACAGTGTTATTTTATCATCTTTAGTCTATTAAATGCTCCAACATGCACTTTCCTCTAGATTTGAGATTATACGTGATATCTCTCAATCCTGACCATGTGACCTCTGACTAATTCTTTCTCCAGTATTTCAACCCCAAGTCTAATTCTAAGTTTAATTCTACCATTCACACTCGCTGTGTCCATAAACATTTTGCTGCTTGCTGCTGACCTGAGACTCCAGATATCATGGCTTTGATTATAATAACTATAGAATTACTACACAGTTGCTATATGTGTATTAAAGGATTGTTATAACTATATTGGCAGTGGCTTCTTGTCATAGAAGGAAAAGTACAAATTAATTTAATAACATTAATGGCCGTTCAATTCCATGAATGTGTCCTGGTAAGCCTTATGACTGAGTCAAACCCCAGTAGCAGGTCGAACAGAGCCATTGTTAAAGTTAGTAATTACACTTTTCCCAAGTCTCAGGTGTCTTATGTGTGTACAATTTAGGTCTCCTGTGACTGGAAATGATCAGGGATTAGCCCGAGTCAGCAATTTAAACACAGTGATTTCATGTGGAAATGATACAACCCCCCCCTGTTTCTGTACATCTATATTTTCATTGACCTTTACAACTCTCCACCTTAGTCCGTACACCCTTCAGCCACATTCCCATAGCCATATGGCCCCAGTAATATATATCATCTGAATCTCCCTTTTCTTTTAACCTTTTTTTTTCACCAGTGTGGATGCTGGTTTAAGGAACACCCGTCTCAAGCCGAGAAACATCCCATCGTTTTCTTTTGATCACCTCTGCTTTTTCACCCTGCAGAAGGAGCTGGGTTTCAAAGTCCAGATTTTTGAAAAGAAAGTGGAGACGTACAAGAAAACCACACGTAAACTCAGCAACGCAATGGAGTACATCAAGGTAAAGTTACTGTCACGTCTCACGGTGTTCGTATTACATTCATCTGTGTGTAATCATTAAACAAGGTTATTATTATACAAGCTGCAAAACTTGTCCATTGCCCTCAGACATCCTCAGTCCTTGAACCAGATACTCCAGGTTCACCTCTTGTTCAGCTCGACTTTTGACCTCTATGGAGGAAAGCGCTCGCCTCAGGGATCCGCTGAGTAATTTGCCCCTGACATATGCATGAATAATGCAATCTGTTCGATATTTGGAAGGAGTTCTTCCCTTACGCATTGCAGTACATGCGTGGTACTTATCCAACAAGACAAGAGATAGTACAAGACATATAGCACACCAGAGACTGCCCACATCTTAATTCATGTGTGTATGTTCACTATATATAAACTCTCTTCTCTAAACGCAGTATCAGGCTGAGCAGGCAGAGAAGCAGATCAAGGTGGAGTTTGAGAGGCTTCGCATGGCGCTTATCACAGAGGAAGCTCTGCGTCTGAAAGCCCTGGCTGCTGAGGAGGAGCAGAAGATCGCTGCCGTTCAGGAGGTGATTGACAGCACAAACGAGGACATTGCCTCGATGAACAAGCTCAGTGATGCACTGAAGAGAGAGATGGGCAACGAGGATCTGGCTCTCCTGCGGGTGAGAGAAGGAAGCTCGTCATCACGGTTGTGAGACTTACAAGACTTTTGCCTCTGATGTTAAAAAAAACAAACAAACATGAAACTAATCTCAGTTACTCTCTTTTATGTTTTAGAATTTCCAGAAGGTAAAAAGAGAGTAAGTAACTGCAAAACTCTGAAGCAATCACAAACATTGTGTGCTCTAAAATCTCTGTCTAAATATCCACTACACAAGGACTAGGAAGTACATTTCACCATATATTTACCATATATTAGCATTTTTACAAGGTTACAAGGTTTTTATTTGTCATAGTACGACAGGGTTTAGATTGGAGTCCCAATTTGCTACGTAGGAAAGAAAACAAAATAAACTATATCAGATATGGAGGGTGGAGGATCATTTGTATATTACACATTTTTGTCATTCTGAAGATCTGCTTCGTTCAGGTTTCTGCTGTATTTTGTGGATTTACAAATGTCTCTTGTTAACTTCACTTATTGCCATCTTTGCTTTAGAGCCAAGTGGACTCGTGGAGATCCTTACCTCCCTGAGGACTCTCTTTTGAACATGGGCAAGCATGTTGGTGCTTTGAGCTTCAAAATCTGGAAGAACATGCAGGCCCATGTCAAATATAGTGAGTAAATTACAATGGGAGTTGGGAATGATCTGTGGTTTTCGGGACTGGGAGTCTTTACCGGAAATGGACCAATTTGTGTTGAAAATTGTATTGGTGTACTTGAAATATACGTGTTGGAGAACACGGACTTGATGTGATAGAGCAGACCATTCTTCAGTCTCTTGTCAAATGTTACCGATATGAAGTAATTGCGTCTTGTTTCTTCCTGTGTGCAGATCCAGTGGTGTTGGACCCAAACACGGCCTCTCCATGGCTGTCCTTGAATGCTGACCTATCCACTGTGAAGGAAAGCGCCGAGCGGCTGACCACCCCCGACAACCCGGATCGCTTTGATCCCTGCGTCTTTGTGCTGGGTGCTGAAGGTTACAAGTCTGGTAAACACAGATGGGATGTCATTGTTGGTGACAACCCCAGGTGGATTGTGGGAGTTTGCAAAGAGTCAGTGCCCCGTAAAAAGAAGTTCACGGTCTCTACGAGCCGTGGTGTGTGGTCCATTGGACTGAGCAAAGGGGTGTACACGGTCTCAACACCTGAGCGTACAGAGCTGCAGGTGCAGCAGCGTCCTGAAAGGATCCGCATTAAGCTTAATTTAGATAAGGGAGAGGTGTCATTTTGGGATGGGGGAACAGCAAAGCACCTTGTCACTTTAACACACAAGTTTGATGAGAAGATGTATCCAATTTTTGGCCCTGGCCTCTACAGTACGCCTACAATTCTGGCTCCGGGAAAAATAGCTGTTCACACCTCATGATGAGCCGATATACTGCAGAGGGATGGTTGTTGACTTAAAGCTCTAGTATTGAAAATAATTCTAATAACCTGTTTCAAATAGAAAGCTTTTTAAAAGCAAGATAAACAAAACAACACTTTACCAGTCAAACAGAGATGACCTTGCAGCTGCATGATGCACATGTTAGAGCTGAGAAATTACTTTCTTAACACTGACGGCGCATGGGAAATTGCAAAAAACAATTTTTTTAGATGTGCCTTAGCTGGAGGAAATTAGATTGTCTTTTGTCATCACTTTACAGTGGAGGGACAGACCTGAATAATAAAAAGACTGGAAGCTTGGCTGATGCTGGTGGCCAATACCGATACCGTTTGAAGAGGTGAATAAAACAGTCTCTCTTGATTTATTATTGCACTGGATGAAAAATTGGGACATCCAGCTCTTAATATCTGAGATGACAATAGAAATAGTGGAATGTAAACAAAATAATTCAAGTTGCGGGATTGTTATGGTAGTTGTTTTATCTTAACATTTTTTCAGTACACAATTTCAGTTTTATAAGGGATACATTGAATGAAATGCATTTAAGCTTATGAAATGCCCTTTATTTTATATGATTTTGTTGATTCTGCTCAAATATAATGGACTAAAATCTCCCTGAATCTGTATGGGTTTCTTGGTTGATTGTTTTACAACACAAAGTGTGGCCTGAAAGTTGTCCTGATTTAAATTTTCTGTGTTCATATAAACACTTAATTAATAAAAAAACTTTTAAATCAGATTTGTTTGTTTTATTAATTAGAACCACATAAACGGTGCATAGCTAATTAGTAAACGTTACTATTTTGAGAGAATCTTACATTTAAGGTGAGAATTTAGCCTCATGTATTTATTGTTTACAACATTATTGTCCGTGGTTTATATCCAGATGTTTACACGTTGTTTCTCATCTCCGCTGGATGGCAGTGGTGGGACATGCCACTCGCGGCGCTGTCTTTTGTGTTGGCAACCACCGGTTAACGTTTCTGCTGGCCGGCCATAAACATCAAAACAATGGGCATCTGTCCTTAAGATGGACCGCAGGAATCGGGTCGAACCCGTTGAAAGGTTTCGTTGTTAGCTGGCAGCATTTCCTTCTAGTGCAACGACCGAGTTTTAGAAACATAATTTCGTCATTACATAATTATGAATTACTCTGAAAAATGACTTTTTCTTTGTAGATTTTGTAGCCACTGATGATTGCGCATCTGGATTTAGCCGAGCCACTACCGCTAGCTAGCGAACAAGCTAACTTAGCAGAGCACAGTGTTGTAGCCGCAGTCAGGGCGAAGCAGTACCTACGAGCTAACTCAGCTAGCTGTCAATCGAGAGGCGCTCACTAGCCATAAGTTTGCTAATGTCGTAGCTAACGTCAAAGGGTCGCCGACAATGTAAATTATCATGAGGCCAAAGAAACGGGAACTGGTGAGTATGCTAATGCGAAATGCAACATTACCAACTAGCCAGCTAACGGTCGCTGTTAACGGTATTCAGCTAACGTTAGCAACCCTCTAGGTTAGCTTTGTTGTGATAGCCTGCGGAGAGAGCCCCGTGTTGCTGATTCTAGTTGTTTTTTTCTTTAGCTAGCGTTAGTTGGATGTAACGTTAATAAAGACAGTTAGTAAACGCTATGTTGGTGAACAGCAACCTTTGTATAGAACGATAAGTCACATCTGTGGTTAAGACTTCCTGTAACGTTACTGTTATGTTTGTGAGACGTTGATGAGCTAACGGTACTGTACACAGGGCTTAGCTTCATCACAATCACTATATTTTGTTGCTGTTATATTCTGCTGTGCGAATGGCATTGCAGTTTACAGAAGGGTCATGTAGACTTAAACTGGAATGATGCCACTAAAAGAGAATAATGTACACGGACACGGTACTGCAAGGGTCACATGAAGTTGTTCGTGGGACCTCCAGGCTACATGACTCTTTGTTTTCCATAGAAATCTCCTCTAGTTCATTTGTCTTGTGTGGTCGTTCCAACTGACATTTACACGATTGGTCCATATTTGCTGCATGATTCTGCTGCACATTTCTGATACTTTGTATGTGATACTTTGTCAGTCAAGACCCACAACAAATTATTCTCTTTCACCTTCCCCCCCCCCCCCCATTATTAAGGCGGTGCCAGTAATGGCCTCCCCCCTGCCTGTCTCCTTCATCCTGGTGGTTCTGCTGTTGGCTGAGTCGCCTGTGTGCCAGGCAGGGGACTGCAAGGGCCACAGGCAGGTGTTGAGGGGGCCTCCAGGCTATGTCACAGATGGACCGGGGAACTACTCTGTCAATGGGAACTGCGAGTGGCTTATTAAAGGTATAATGAGCCAAGATATTGTCTTGTGCACAGACAACATGACAATTGAACAAATAACTTACAGCCAATAGACAGCCAGTTAATCTCAGTGATATTTCCCATCTTTTTATATCTTCCAGCTCCCAGCAACAGTCACCGCATTGTCTTAAATTTCACCTTCATGGACACAGAGTGTACCTATGATTACCTTTTTGTGTATGATGGAGACTCCTACCAGAGCCCTCTCCTAGCCAGCCTGAGTGGCAACACTCTGCCTCAAACCATTGAAGCCAAGTCCGGCAAGGTAACCAATTAAGACACGACAAAGGAAACTCTAAAGCCTTATAACTATTGATTATATTAACTTTATGACCGTTATTTAATTATCTTGTTCCAGATGCTACTTCATCTCTTCAGCGATGCTAATTACAACCTCCTGGGCTTCAATGCGACTTACACCGTCTCTGTGTGCCCCGGGGCCTGTGGCGGTCATGGCCGCTGTGATTCCTCTACATCAAAATGCCACTGCCATCAGGGTTGGGGAGGACCAGGTTGTACAACCCCTCTGTGCTCCCAGGCTTGTTCTGTGAATGGCCAGTGTGACAAGGTAAGAGTAGGGATGGGAAGGGTTTAATGAACACACAAAGCAACCAGTCTTCAACCAAAGGGTCACTCATCTTTCCCTGAATAAGCTTTAATTATGTCAGCCAGATGTGCAGTTCATTAAAACATTGATGATTGGTCTTAAACTATTGTTCCTCATCCATGTTTTGTCTCAGAAAGGAGAGCGCTGTCTGTGTAACCCAGGCTTCCTGGGTCACAGCTGCATGCTGGGATTCCATAACGACAGTGGGGCAGGGCAGTGGTGGCGTGTGAGTGAGGGACACCCCTACACACCGGCCAGGACAGGTTCTGCTGGCGTGTATCTGTCCATCACTGGAGCCATGTACTTGTTTGGCGGTGAGAGTGACATGTTATTAATTTCCACAGATTTTTTATATTTAGTGAACAAACCCATCGTCCACCTCCTTTGTTGTAGCTGCAGTCCCACATTGACTTTTACCCTTCTCTAGTATTTTATAGTGTTTTCATGATAAATAAAATCTGTTTGTATTTGATTGTTACTTCTTTTCCCCCAGGGTTTGACCTGAATAGAGCTCTCGGTGACTTGATCAAATATAACTTCACATCCAACCAATGGGAAAGCAGGTCTTATGGTCACTCTCCTGTAAGTAATAAACACACACAGTGTTTGCTTCCTCCTGCTCTTGCGCCTCATATACTGTGTTTCCATGCAAGGGACGTGTTTACTATCTGCCTCCTGCAGTAACCTGATCCTTTAGATGTCATGTAAACGAGAAACCTGGTTTCCTTAATCAGGATAAGGTATTTCGAGAAACCCTGTCAACAGCACAGCTAGTATTCTGCTGGAGAAACCTTATTTCTTGGCAGAGGGGTGATTGGAAATATAATAAGTCGAAGTAAGTGAGTCTTACTTCTTTATAAAAAAATGTAATCCAAATTCAGGCTTAAATGTACAAGTCTCACAAAGTTGGTTTTAACAGCTAAACAGTAGATAATGTTTACTCCTATTTCCTGATTTCTCTCATTTTCGATGTTTTTTTCTTTACCTCCAAACATAGTCAACTTCAATATAAATGCTCCAATTTATTATTTTACGTTTCCTTTTCATTCACTTCCTGCCTGCACTGTTTGCCCCCCCCCCCCCCCCTCTATGTTGTCAGGTGGCTCGTCACTCCCACACCGCGGTAGAGTGGACGGGTAACATGGTTATCTTTGGAGGAGAGCTAGCCAACGGCTCCCTGGCCAGTGATGTCTGGATGTACCGGCCACTTCACGATGACTGGCAACAGCATGGCTTTTCAAATTCGCATGGGTCTCCTAAACTGGCCAATCACGCTGCAGCCGTAGTAGACAATCATCTCTATGTATTTGGAGGTGGGTTTCACATGATATATTCACTTGGCAGTCTGTGTTTGGATAGGCATACATAAATCCCTTGAGAAATAAATCATAATCATTATTTCCCAGGTCGCACTGAGGAGGATATGTTTTCCTCTTCTCTGTATCGGTTCGGCCTGCATGGCTCTGGACGGTGGGAAATGGTTCAGCCCACAGGTGGGAAGCCCCCAGCCACTGCGGGCCATTCCATGGTGTTCCACAGCCCATCCAGGACACTGCTGGTCTACGGAGGCCACAGGCCCACCACTGCCAGGTACACACCCTCTTGTGCTTCAGCTTACTGGATACAGTAACACATACACATCCAGTAGGAACATTTTGTACACTGTTTTCTATTTGTGGTTTTTAATGAGGAAAGGGAAAAGTTTGCTGCCTGGTGTGGATCTCTGTGTCTGGGGATTGCTCATGTGATATTTCTGTTTATTCCTTTTCACATCAAGTGAATTGTAAATAATTTGTCCCATTAGATTAAATAAGATAACACATTTAGTTTTATCTTCAGTTCAGAAGACTTGTTAAATTCAGCATACAAATATAAGAAATAAGATAGAAAGGAATAGCAAATGTAGAAATTTGCAACATTTTGAGAAAAATCTAGCAAATGAATAAAAATATAGACAACATCTTTATAAATACTAAAAGTACTCTTGTTGTATATTTTTCCAAGGTTTAGTGTGAGAGTGAACAACACCGACGTGTTCCACGTGGAGAGACGTTTTTGGACATCTTTCCGTTCCCGTTTCCCAGCAACCGGCCCCAGAGAGAGAGCTTTCCACTCAGCCACCGTCATTGGGAACTACATGGTTGTTTACGGTAAGCATTGAGGAAATAAGCAACTGTAATTCACGACTGTGGCTCAGTGGTAGAGCAGGGTCGTCCTTCAATCAGAGGAACGGCGGTCCATGTCGATGTGTCCTTGGGCAAGACACCTGTGTATGAATGATTAGTTAGAGTCCTTGTATGGTAGCCTCTGCCATCAGTGTATGAATGGGTGAATGATGACATGTAGTGTTAAAGCGCTTTGAGTGGTCGGAAGACTAGAAAAGCGCTATACAAGTAAAAGTCCATTTACCATTTAATTAGTGCCATTCTGTGTATATTTATCTATTTCTTCCTGCCTTTCTCTCGCAGGGGGGAATGTACATATTCATTACCAAGAGGAGAAGTGCTATGATGAGGAGATCTTCTTTTACCACCTGGGCTGTCACCAGTGGGTGTCTGCAGGGGAGAGATGGTCACTCAGTGAGTTTCTGTAGACTCATATAGCTTGTTTCTTGGTGGTTGTTACTTAAGCATCTTCACATACATTGACTACAAAACATTCATATTTTTGTTTCAGGAGGGGATCCTGTGAAGGGGCGTTACTCGCATGTTGCTGCTGTGATGGAGGGACGAGTGCTGCTGGTGGCCGGGGGTTACAGTGGTGTGGCCCTTGGAGACCTGGTGGCTTACAAAGTTCCGCTGTTTGTCAGTAGCGATCAAGGTGACAGGGTGAGTGAAATTGTCATAAAACAAGGCTGGAAGTCATATCATTGATAAGACTGATGGGAGAAAGGCTGAAAAACTTGTGTTG